GGGATTTTTGGAGAACTGGCTGACAAACACCCCAGCCCATCCATGGGCATGGATTTGGGGAGAAGTGGGGATTTTTGGAGAAGTGGCTGACAGACACCCCAGCCCATCCATGGGGATGGATTTGGGAAGAAGTGAGGATTTTTGGAGAAGTGGGGATTTTTGGAGAACTGGCTGACAGACATTCCAGCCCATCCATGGGCATGGATTTAGGGAGAAGTGAGGATTTTTGGAGAACTGGCTGACAGACAGCCCAGCCCCTGTCCATGGGGATGGACTTGGGAAGAAGTGGGGATTTTTGGAGAAGTAGGGATTTTTGGAGAACTGGCTGACAGACATCCCAGCCCATCCATGGGGATGGATTTGGGAAGAAGTGGGATTTTTGGAGAACTGGCTGACAAACACCCCAGCCCATCCATGGGGATGGATTTGGGGAGAAGTGGATATTTTTGGAGAACTGGCTGACAGACACCACAACCCATCCATGGGGATGGATTTGGGGAGAAGTGGGGATTTTTGGAGAACTGGCTGACAGACACCCCAGCCCATCCATGGGGATGGATTTAGGGAGAAGTGGGGATTTTTGGAGAACTGTCTCACCAGGATGAAAACACTCCCTGGGAATGAAAGCCATGATATTCCATGGCTGACTCTCCCAAGGCCAAGGAAGAAGCTCTTCCATGGTTGTAACCAACAGTCCGAGGGTTTTCCAGGATCTCCATCTGAGCCCCGTGTGCCACCAAAGCTGCCCAGAACACTTGGAAGAAGTTGTTTCCAAACTGGAAACTGGGATCCTCCCAAACACACTGGGATCCTCCCTTGGATCAGGAATCCACCCTGGAGTCAGGAGGAATAAAGGGACATCCAGCCACCAACAAAGAACCAGTTGATGGCTTTGGTTTGATTTAAGGAGCTCCAAAAACGGGGATTTGGAGCTACTTTTCCACATATAACAGATCCAACTGAAGATAAAAAGGGATGAAAAATATTCTGGTTATTTTTTTTAGGAACGATTTCTTGTCCTCAATAGATTTGCAGGGTTGGAATTTTTTAAGCAGCATCAGTAAATGAATTTTTCATTACGAAGAGATTTGATGTCTTAGGTCAGACTGTTGAAAACCAATTCCAAAACTACTTCTTTATTTTTTTAACCATAAGCCTTTTTTTTTCAGGTCATTGAATACTAAAATATTTCCAGATCATAACCTACATTTAAAAAAAAAAAAAAAATCTAAAGAGCCATTCAAGGCTTTAATTTCCAGTTCTTTTTGAAGCTCTCAGTGTAAATCCCACCACTGCAATGATTCATAGTCCCTGCAGATGTCTGGGGCATTTATCATGTATATAAAATGTTCTAATAAAAATCATTTAGCTCTCCATTTCTAAGATAGGAACAACTTGAAAATCTGAAATAGTATTTCCTAAATACACTGATTTATTTTTTTTGAAACAGGTATGACTATGACTCCAGGAATTACTTTATGAAGTTGTTCCAACATCACCTGTAATATTATATTTTGGCTTATACTTTTCCTGCCTTTGGAGCAGATGGATCTGGTCCTTTTTCCAAGATCCTGCTGTGGGAGTGGAGTGGGGAAGGAGGAAATCAGGGAATTTCAGTCATTCTTACCATCTCTCACTGTGTAAATATTTTGACCTGCTCAGCAATGTCAAGGGAAGCAGCAGAGCCACAGGAAATAGCTGACATAAATGAACTTTTTAAGCACTGCCCTCCATCCAAGTGATCCCATCCTGAAAAGCTGTGGACACCAGGAAGGCTGAATATCCATCAATCCAGTCAGCTTTACATCTCAATATATGGATTTTATATATATATATCTTATATATATATATTTTATATATATAAATTTTATATATATATATTATTTTTTATATATTATATATATTTTATATATATAAATTTTATATATATTATTTTATATATATTATATATATAAAAATATATATATAATGGTTAATCATTGCAATTTTTATATCTATCTATCTATCTATTTATTTATTTCTTTATTGCTGCTCTCTGCAGGTTTAATGATCATTGGCATTAACAAGGCAACATTTCAACATTAAATATATTCTGTTTGGTATTTTGTAGGATGTTTTATATATAAATAGATATATAAATATATATATATAATTTCTAATGCTACAGGAGCAAAAGTGGTTTTTAAATGAAGAAATGAAGCTCCTAAAGTTGCTGTAATTCTCATTTTTAACATGAGAACTAAGTCACCAGGTAGAAAGAACAGGAGAAAAGGCCCCTGACCCCCCGAATTTGCTGTAATTATGCCCCAAACTGAACACAAATGCTAGAGAAGAGTTAATGATATAGATATTTATTGTCCTGATGGCTCCCTGGGGAGCAATTTGCCACTACAGCCCCATTACATCAGACACAATAAAAATGTCTGGGTTGACCAGTAAAAGCCAGGTCTGGTTCTCTTCAAACTCCATCACTGGTGGGATGGGAATCATTCCTGCTTTTCCCTCCATCCCAGCAAAGCTTCTCCTTCAGGGACTATTTACATCCAATGTCAGCAAAGAAACTCGCAGGAAAAATTCAGGATTTGAAGGTAATAAATTATCACTGGGAGCTGATAAAGCATCTGGCACCAGCTACTGGTAATTTTTATTTTAATTAACATTAATTGTAATGTTGCCTTTGTTTTTTTAAGAGTTGAGTAAATAAAGCAGATTTTATCCTCTCAAATAACCCTGGAAGGCTCTTCTTCATTAATTTAAATTTAAATTTAAATGGGAATTTAAATGGGAATTTAAAATCCCAGAAACACGCAGTCCAAGCTGATGGGGAGGTGAACCAGGATCAACTGAAGGTGCCCAAAACCCCACAGTGATTTTTTTTCCCCCCAAAAAGAGCAACAAACCCGAGGAAAAAAGGGAGAAAATGGGCCCATAAAAAGCCCCAAATAAGGAAGGTTTGCTGCAACAAAAAGCTGCAGAACCACAGGAAACCCACAGAGACAATGAGGTCAATCTGTGCTCGGGGCTGACGCAGACACCAGTGGAGGGACAGGGAACTGCCTCAAATTAATTTTAATTGCACAGCAAGTTGAAAAATGTCAGTAATGAACCAGAGGTAAAAATAATAAAATATAATATAGTAATAAAAGTGCAGGATGTTGTTGTTCTACCCCCTTTTTAAAGAAATTTTTATACACTCCTTGGTTTTTATGGTTAATAATTGCAATTTTTTATATATATATATATATATGAAAACAAATTATTATATATTAATTTTTCAAAGTAATAAATATTAATATAATAATGTTTCTAATATATAACATTAATATATGTAAAAATAATATAGTAATAATTTACTAATAAATATATATTTATTATATAATAATAAAATAATAAAATATAATATAGTAATAAAAGTGCAGGATATTTTTGTTCTATCCCCTTTTAAAAGAAATTTTTATACACTGCTTGGTTTTTATGGTTAATAATTGTACTTCTTATATATATATAAAAATTATTATATATATAAATTTTTATATAAATACAAATTATTACACATTAATTTTTCAAAGTAATAAATATAAATAAAATAATGTTTCTGATATATAACATTAATATATGTATTAATAATATAGTAATAAATTAGTAATAAATATATATTTATTATATAATAAAATATAATAATAAAAGTGTAGGATATTGTTGTTCCACCCCCTTTTTAAAGAAATTTTTATACACTCCTTGTTTTTTATGGTTAATAATTGCACTTCTTTATATATATAAATTATTATATCTATATATAATTGTATATATAAATACAAATTATTATATATAATTTTTTCAAAGTAATACATATAAATAAAATAATGTTTCTAAAATATAACATTAATATATGTATTAATAATATAGTAATAAATTAGTAATAAATATACATTTATTATATAATAAAATATAATAAGAAAATAAAATCTAGTAATAAAAGTGCAGGATATTGTTGTTCTACCCCCTTTTTAAAGAAATTTTTATACACTCTTTGCTTTTTATGGTTAATCATTGCAATTTTTATATATATATATATAAAAAATTATATCTATAAATACAAATTATTACATATTAATTTTTCAAAGTAATAAATATAAATATAATAATGTTTCTGATATATAACATTAATATATGTATTAATAATATAGTAATAAATCAGTAATAACTATATATTTATTTCTCTTTGGTCTTAGGCTGGAGATTGCAGATTGCAACTTCCATCATCTGATGTCTCCTTTCTGAGAACTGGGATCACTGAGCTATAAACTGAAATAAAGATGCCCTTTTGTGGGTGAGGCCAAACAATTTAAACTGCTTTTTGCACTCACTGTACAGATTTCTACTTAAATATGTCCAAAACTGGGGCTGTGGAAAAATACTAGAAAAAAATCTTAGATAAAATCAGAAAAATATCACATTTCTTTTCTGCTCTGTGTGTGAGCCTTACAAGGGATGCTTGTGAAAAATTTAATATCCTGAAAAGCAAAATATTATTAATACTATTTTAAAACTTCTCCTGCTCAGCTGCAGGCAGGAGGAAGGTGCTGGAATTCCCAATTAGTTTTTCCAAATGGAAACACTCACCTGTGAGCTGCTATCCCGAGGAATATTTTCCTGTGTTATCCCTAAGTTTGTCCAATTCCTCACCTGTTTTTTCCCTAAGTTTGTCCAATTCCTCACCTGTTTTTTCCCTAAATTTGTCCAATTCCTCACCTGTTTCTTCCCTAAGTTTGTCCAATTCCTCACCTATTTTTTCCCTAAGTTTGTATAATTCCTCACCTGGTTTTGAGCTCTTACTCACCCCAGTTTTGTCACAGAGCCGTAAAGTGTTGAAAGATCCCACGGCAAACAATTCCCCGTCCACGGCCCAGGCGATGGATGTGATGGGATATTCCTGGAGCTGGGAGCTGTACAGGAGCCGCCCGTAACTGTCCCAAACCTGCCAAAAAAAGTTTAAACATCCACCTCAATGAGCACAACTTCATAGAATCACAGAATCAGCTGGGTTGGAAGGGACCGCTGAGATCATCAAGTCCAACCCTTGATCCAACCCCGCCGTGGTTCCCAGCCCATGGCACTGATGCCACATCCAGTCTCTTCTTAAAAACCTCCAGGGATGGGGATTCCACCACTTCCCTGGGCAGCCCATTCCAATGGCTGATCACCGTCTCTGGAAAGAAATTCTTTCTAATGTCCAATCTAAACCTCCCCTGGCACAGCTGAAGACCCCGAACTCTCTTGTCTTGCTGAGAGTTGTCTGGGAGAAGAGACCAACCCCCCCCTGGCTCCCCCCTCCTGTCAGGGAGTTGCAGAGAGTGAGGAGGTCTCCCCTGAGCCTCCTCTTCTCCAGGCTGAACAGCCGCAGCTCCCTCAGCCTCTCCTCACAGCACTTGTGCTCCAGTCCCTTCCCCAGCCTCGTTGCTCTCCTCTGGACCTGCTCCAGGACCTCAATGTCCTTCCTGAACTGAGGGGCCCAGAACTGGACACAGCACTCCAGGGGTGGCCTCACCAGCGCTGAGTCCAGGGCAAGAATCACTTCCCTGGCCCTGTTGGCCACACTGTTCCTGAGCCAGGCCAGGATCCATTGGCCTTCTTGGCCACCTGGGCACACTCTGGCTCCTGTTCAGCTCCCTGTCCATCCCCACTCCCAGCTCCCTTCCTGCCTGGCTGCTCTCCAGCCCCTCTGGCCCAGCCTGGAGCTGCCGGGGGTTGTTGTGGCCAAAGTGCAGGACCCGGCCCTTGGCCTGGTTGAACCTCATCCCATTGGAATCAGCCCATGGATCCAGCCTGGCCAGGTCCCTCTGCAGAGCCCTCCTGCCTTCCAGTTGATCAACACTTGCCCCAGCTTAGTGTCATCTGCAAATTTGCTAAGCTGGGGGGAGTGTATCTTCATTTATTCCATTTTCCCTCACAGGAGTGGTAGAAATAATTCTGCAAGTTATGTCAGTGTAACCAGAAAAACCTCGTGTGTTATAATTCACTTTATATTAAAGGTTGTTCCTAATCAATACTGGTTTGTTTAATGCAATAAACTTTGCTTTGCTGCCATGGCAAATGTTACATTATCCTGTATAAAACACTCCCTGTAAAATAACCACAAAGTTTATCCCATTTGCATACATTTCCCAAGAATATGAGGCCCCTCTGAAAATTTCCAAGCCAGATTATTTTTTTTTTAAATCAGCAGAATACCTGGAATCAATCCACAAAATCATTTGATTTTAACACTTTAATATACATGGATTTTATTTTTTTTAATCTATTTGGGTTTTTTTAAATTTATTTGGTTTGTTTTTTTGTTTAATTGTGGGGTTTTGTGGTCTTAACTTGTGTGTTTTCTCACAGCCATCACACACTTTGCTGACAGAACCAACACATGATACACTTAAAATTAAGTTCCTACTTAAGGGAAGAGATACAATATGTGCTTTTTATTTTGGATACAGAAGATACCAATCAAAAAATTACCAAGGGGTTCACTATTGTTCCTGTAATAGAAAACAGCAGCTTCATCTCCTCTAATTTCAGATGTCATTACCTTTTCCAGTATATATCATATTTCAAGCAATCACTTCTATTTTTCTACACATTTTCCTTTCAGAGTTTGTTTCACTTGCATTTTACCCATTTCTATTCTGCTGTATTTAAAAATAAATATTGTGATTTAATGATACTACACAGAGTGAGGTGTATTTCTAAATGGGAGACTTCCCATTTAATTTGGAGCTTCCAGGCACTATTAAAATTTTAAAAATAATAACTTTCCTGGTCATTTAGTTACAAAGTTAACTAGAACTCACCTTATATTTACAATCTTCACCTGCAGAAAGAATCAGATCATTAACTGAATTCCAGTCAGTTTTTAAAATCAGTCCATCGTGGGCTTTCCACTGAAATGGAAACAAAATAAATTAAACACAGCCTGAATTCTACATTTAATATTCATCATTCATTGACCTTGATGATCTTGGAGGTTTTATCCAACCTCAATGATTCTGTGATTCAGCAGAAAAATAAATTACATAAAGCCCGAATGAGGCAGAATCAAAGCAGGAAAATCTGCACTAAAAAGATGTTTTAAGTGCAAATTAAAACAGCTGTTTTTCATAACAAATTAAAAGGGAAAGGCATCTGTACCCTTATTTATGAAAATAAATCACATTAATTAGTGACATTATTAATAATACCTGCAAAACTTTAGCATTTGGCTGAAGAGGTTTAATAATCAGCTGCTTCCCTGATGTGTAAAGGACTTTTTCAGAGTCAGGCCCCCAGGCCACGGAGTACACGGGGCTTCCTGTGGGCATGGAAAACATTCCCAGTGACTTTTCCTGTCCTTTTAATGCTGTATTACTTATGTGTGTGTATATATACATATATATAAAAATATATATAAAGATACTGTATTATATACAGGTGTATTTCTATTTATTTATACACATATTTATATACATAAAATACCGTAGCTTCCAAATATTCAAACTCTAAACTGAGACCTGCTGCTGTTGCTCCTGAATATTTCTGTATTTCATGTATATTCATTTAGAAAGGCATTTATATTACTTAGAAACACAGGATTATGTAAGATTTGTTTAACTGTCAACCCTTACAGGAGACAACTCCCAGAAACACACAACATATATTAAGTAAATCTGGCCCTGGCTCTTTTCCTCCTGTTGCAAATGACATAAATTCTGTCACCAGCTGCAACAGGAATTCTAAATAAACTCTTTTTTTTTTTGTCCTGCTTTAATGCTGATTTAACAATCAGAAGAACTTTTCTATTTAAACCAAATGTTTCCCCTTTTTATGATGGCTGACTACTTAACCACAATTTCCAGGGCTTAACAGCAGGAGCTGAGTTAACTCATTTCCTTCTGCACTTAACAAGAAGTTGGTTGGGAAAACACTGCCAACACTCTGGGAAGGAAAATTCAGTGGAACAGCCACACTGCAGGCAGTTGTGGTGGTGATAAACAGCTGCAGGAAGGAAGATTCGGGGAGAAAA